TACCATCGGACGTGATTCAGAGCTCCAGGGGAGCCCCAGTCTTCCCACCAACCAAGTAGAGGCCACACTACGTTGGGAACCCGAATCCAATAGAGCTCGAACCGTTAAGCGGTCGCCGCTCGGGTTTTTTTTTTTTTTTTAATTCTCTGTTACTGCTGCTATACATGCAGCACCATTTGTCACTATCGTTGTTTATTTCGTATACTTATATATCCTTTTTTTTTTTAACATAACTTTAAATATGCTTATTACTTATATCCTACTAACTCTTATATAGTTCCTAACTTAAGATTTAACTACTTTTGCTTTCTTTTTTTTATCCTTATCTTTTACTGTTTACAATTGTATGTATTCTTATGTATGTATTCTTACAATTATTAATTAAGTTATATAAAATATGGTACTTAAATTAAGTTATTAAGTGCGCCACCCGTTATCTAATATAATATACATCTATATCTAACATATTTTGTAATATTTTCTTTCTTTTTTTTTATTATTTTTTTTTTATTTTTTTTTTTTGCCTTTTTCCTTTTATATTTCTTTTCTTTTCTCTATGTAGCATATTTTTTTTTGTTTTTATTGCCAATGCTTTTCTTATGAATTTCTGTTTTTTTTTCTTTCCTTCCATTTTTTTTTACTTTTTTTTTATATATTAATTTTCCTTGGCTATATATTATACATATTATTATGTTGTTATGGAATACTATTACAGCAAGTACTATTTACAACCATTTCCTATACTATGTTATACAATAAAAAGTATTTATTGCTCTATATGTTTTTGTTAATTGCTCGTCTACATTTATTATTAATATCTAACACATTTAATATTATATAATTATTAATCTACATTTTTATAATTAAATATCTACTTTCGATCCATTTGCTTTTCCTGCACACCTAACGACATATTCTGCATATTTAAGAAAATGGATACGGCAGTCATCATTGTTAATTACATACTTTAAATTTGTTATATTGATTGCAATTCCCATCTTATGCTCGCATTCCATTCTTTGAATAGTGAATCTAGGACAATCTATTAGCAGGTGTTCAATTTTTTCTTCTATTTCATTACTGCAAACACAAGATGGGGATTGCGCCAACTTGAACTTAAACAAATAAGCCTTAAATCCTCCATGACCAGTTAATAATTGAGCTTTAATATTGTCCATTCTTATCTGTTTCAGTGTCTTGTGAGCTTCTCTTACGTCAGGGAAGAAATTTTTCGTTACAGCTCCTGTTGCTGCTTCGCTATATCGCTGCTGCCACTTCACGCAGGTAGAGTCCCTGGTTAGTCGCTTCGCGAAGGATAGCGGACACTTGTCATAAACTGGTGCTTGTTTGTTGGATAGTGCAGCCTTTTTGGCAAGCTCATCAGCCCTTTCATTGCCAGGTATACCGATATGTGCCTTTATCCAGTAAAATTTAACCTCGCCGTTTTTATTTACTAATGATCTTATGCGCTCTCGTATTTCAGCTGCCAAAGGATGAAGGGACGAGCTGTCCGTTAGACACTCTAGAGCTGAACGTGAATCGCTTAGGATTATTCCTTTCTTCAATTCGCCGAACTTGCACATCATATCTAACGCTTTTAATATTGCGGTAAGCTCTGCCTGATAAACGCTACAATAACTTTCTAGCCGAAAGGTAGACTTACGTATTTCGCTGCCATCTTTCCATACACTGACAGCGCCACCAACTTTCCCTTCCAGCTTGCTTCCATCCGTATATAACCTTGGCTTTAGGCAGTCTATTGCTTGTTCCTGATCTAAAGAGCTTATCAGCTCAAAAGACATGCGACATCTTTCAGCAGGATGGGGTAGGCAAAAAGGACTTATTGATTTTTCGATGTCTCTTCCCGGAAGTTGGTCCAGTGGCTTTCCTTGTTTTATTTCATAGAGCGAAAGTCGTTCCATTGCTCTTAAGTCGAGAGGGAATATTCCTGCCAGTATAACGCTAGACGTGAAAGAGACTGTTCTGTGACCTTTACAGATTTTGATTGCGAACATTCTTGTTATGCGCTCCAGTCTTTTATTCATATATTCTTTTTTCACCGTCATAGCCCAGACATTTGCTGCATAAAGAATGGTTGGTTCAACTACTGCTATATATATTGTTTTTACTATATCAGAATGAAGTCCCCAATGAGCTTTAGCTTTTCTTGCTATCATTTTGTAAATTTTTATTGCCTTCCCGAGGACTTCATCTAGATGTTCTACGAAGTTTAAATTTTTATCGATGGTGACGCCAAGTACTTTTAGACTTGTAGATGGTTGTATAATAATTTTGTCCATTTTAATTATAGGTGATTCGTAAGATAACTTTTTGGTTATTACGATAGATTGTGTCTTATGTGGTGCAAAATTTAATTTGTGCATTTTGCCCCATGTTACTATTTTCTCTAAAGCTGGATTAAGTTTGTCTTCTACATCTTTTGCTGAGTTTCCTTTTGCGATGATAAGAATATCGTCAGCAAATGCCTGAAGATGTACATCCATATCTGAACTTAATTCAAGAAGGGGGTCGAGAAGGATGTTCCAGAGTATGGGTCCACAGGTCGATCCTTGTATGCATCCTTTAGTTGTAGGTTTGGTGGCTATTGCTCCTGCATATTTCACTATAACACTCCTTGAAGACAGATAGCTGGTAATGAGCCTTAGGTTGTGTATGTTCACATTTTTCCTTTGGATTTCTTTTATTATTTGGGGCCACCAAGCATTGTCAAAAGCCCCTTCTATGTCGAGGGATACCATAACAACTATCTTCTTTTCTTTTATGCCTTGTTTTATCACTGTCATTATGTCATATAGTGCGTCTTCTGTACTACGTTGTGGCATAAAACCATATTGTCGATTGCTGAATTTTCCTTCCCTTCCAAGCTGCCAGAGTAATCTGCCTACAAAGAGCTTTTCTAAAATTTTTCCAAATACTGGCAATAAGCCAATTGGACGATATGCTTTAGGTACAGAATAGTCTACTTTTCCAGGCTTCGGAATAATTTTTATGATTGCTTTTTCCATATCTTTGGGAAATAGCCTGTTTCAAGACATTTATTATAAATAGCCAAAAGGATCGATGGTGTTGTTTTATAGCTCTCATAACAGATATCCGAGGTCATACCATCCTCCCCAGGAGCCTTTTTGGGATTCATTTTTTGAAATACCATCTCTATTTCTACTTCAGTGAATTTTATATAAGTAGTATCTGTATAATTTTTGAGGCTTCTAATTATTATATCAACTTCCGCTCGGATGTTTCTTTGTTCTTCAGTATCTTTATTATAGTCATCATCAGGGTAGAACGTTTTTGCTAACAAAGAGGCCGACTCATTTGGGCTCAGAGTCCGTTCGCCAAAACGCAAGAGCTTGTCCTCGTTTGTAGTGCTGCATCTCCTAATAACTCTATAGATACTCTGCCATATTGTTTCTTTTTCCTGTTTTGAGCACAGTTCTTTCCAGCTCGTATTCATCGTTGTTATTATGCTATGAACGTATTTTTCTTTAGGTGTAATAAATTCTTGAACTACGTAGGGCTTTCGATTTTCATTTGCATATTTTATTTTTCTTCTAAGTCGAATAACTTCTTTCCTCTCAATATCTAATTCTTTAGTCCACCAAGGGGTACTAGTTGTATATACCTTCTTGGAGATAAGTGGAATTGCTGTTTGGCATGCGACGTGAACCTGTTCAATATATCTATTTACATTTTCTTCTAATTCCTCTGTTGTTTTTATAGAGTTGATTTTTTCTTCCGTAATTTGTTGTTTCTGTAACCCTTCCTTTAGTGTGTCCCTAAACAGTGGCCATTTTGCTTTAGCTGTATTATACAGACGTGTAGAATTTCTGAAAGCAACACTTTTCTTATCTATTTCAACGTTTATCTGAAACTGGATAGCTCGGTGGTCAGAGAGTGTAGAAAAATTCAGATCTACTCTCCATTGTTCTAACTTGTGTAGGAGGGCTGAAGAGCAACAAGTCACATCTATTAAACTACTATGCAGTTTCCCAGCTCGGTATTGATAAAATGTTGGTTCATTGCCTTGATTTAATACATTCAGATCTAATTCTGCTATCATTTCTGACAAGAGCATGCCTCTACTGTCCTCCCCTCTGCTTCCCCACCAAGGACTCTTTGCGTTGAAGTCGCCCGCCAGGATGATATTTTCCATTTTCATGTCTTGAGCGATCTTCGTGATCTTCCTAATGTCTTCTTCCAGGTTGCCATTTTTTCCAAATATACATTGATTATGCCTATGCTATGCTTTCCTACTTTAGCTATAAAACCTACAATATTCTCGGTTATATATTCCGAATTTTCTACAATTGTATAAGTGGGATTAACAACGATGACTGCTGATTTAACTGGCTTGTCAACGCTATTAGAGACTTTTTGTATTACGCGACGGTTACAGGTAACATGAGCTTTAGAACCAACGTATGGTTCTTGAAGTAAAAGAAATGCAATACGTTGCTTAACCGCCATTTGTAGTGATTCTTTGTAGGCCGCCATCCCTCGTCCAAGATTAACTTGTACGAATTTGATGGCTTGTGATTCACTTGGGATTGTGCTTTGTGTGATAGGTATATTATGTGGTGTGGTCAGAATCAACTGTGGTTGATCAATATTTATTGCCTGTTCAACTTTACCACAGGCCACGAGTAACGTACTGTTAAAATTAGCAGACAATATGCGATGTGTGCTGTTTGAGTATGTGTTTAATTGGTGTGTATGTGTATATATAGTGCGTATAAAAACAATGAACCCATTTTGATATTTAAATGTTGTGGACCTCATAACAAACTTTGTACTAAATATGTATAAATAAAATAATAAAATAGATGTTTGGAGATATTGGTATATGTATAAGAAAGTATATTTCAGATTATATGTATAAACATAAGCATGTAAGACGAGAACTACTGCCGACAAACTGTAATGCAGTTTGGCAGATGAAAATGTTAAAAACGTTTATTGTATAATTGGAAGTAAATAAATTAAAAAAAAAAAAAAAAGCAATATGCTACTAAGGATCTTGCTATTCTATCCCATTTCTGCCATATTGGGCAATCGGCACTGTATGCTGTATGGCAATAGTCCCCCTTAATTTTGTTTCTGACACAGTTCACACAAGATGGTGCTCCGTTGCTGCGTAAACATTCCCTACTGTCATGATCCTCCGCACAGTAACCACAAGTTTGTTTGTCTGCCACGCATTCTTTCGCTCTGTGACCAAATCCCATGCATCGGTAGCATTGGATTACTGGTGACTGGTCAATGGCTGGAACTATTTGATAGCCAACGTGCACTTTTTGACCTTTAAATGCTTTCCAGACATTAGGGCTTACCTCCATTATGATATTATTGACTGCTGATGTGCGGCCCTTGATTCGTCTTAAGACTTTAATTTTAGTTTTTTCCTTTTCCACGTCTTTTAACAACTTAGCATTTTGCTTAAATAGTGCTTCTTCTAACTTTGCATTACTTAAGTCATTTGTTACTCCTATTAATTTTAATAGGGGTTTTTTTGTGATTGACTTAGACACTGTAAGTTTTTTATCTGAATTTTTTATCGCCCTTTGTAATGTGTTACGGTCTTCGTCTGTGTCACACGTAATAACCACCTTCTGGTTTCTGGCTCTTCTAACTTTATTGACTCCCACTCCCAATTGCACCACATCAACATTAGTCTTAATAGCACTAACAACATCCTCACTTGTATGCCGTGGGTCAGAAGATTCTATTACGAGAGAAAAGGTAGGGTTAGTGAAAACTTCAGCATAAGATCTTTTTGGACCGGCCGCTTGCTGCTCTTTAGAAGCATGGTAGTTTAGGTTATCAGTGGTTTTGTTCATCATCATAGAGCTATTATTACATGCTTCTAAGTGCTCTAGGTTTTCCTTGATTTCTGCTATTGCAAGCTCTGTGCCTAGACCAGAGTTGTTTTGGTATGCCCACTGACTAGTTCCACTTTCTTTTAACTCCCTTATTTCATTCGACAGTTTATCAACTTTTAATGTCAAAGGTTCTACAGCTGTTAATATGTCGTCTGCCGATATTACCTGTGAAGATTTGGAGCACTGAGGTCTTGTTTGCAACTCTTGAATCATGTTTTTAATTACTTTGATATTGTTGACATTAGGGTCTATTTGTGGCTCTTTTAACTCATCCATTGCCAAAGTAATGCTCTTAATACTTTCCTTATCTGCCATTTTATCCCTAAGGTCACCAATATTACGGCTAAGCACTTTTATTTGTTCAATCACCTCCCTTATCTGATTCGTAAATACCATTGTGTTCTCGATGGGTAAAGTTTCTCGATTAACAGTGGTATAATTGGGGGTTTCATTAGTACTTCTATTGGATATTCCACTAATATCCTGTCGAATTTGGTAGATTGCCTTAATAGGGTCATCCATTTCGTAGTTAAGCCATCCCCTTATTGACTCTACGGATTTTTGAGTTTCTTGGATGACTTGTTGGATGTCCCTGAACTTTTGAAGCTGTAAGGATTGCAGGTCTGAGATTTGTTTGTTATGTGCTCTCTCGACTCTTACTAGTTCTTTTGCTGCTCGACTACGCTCTTGTTCTAATGCGAGCCGGTGTCGAGAGCGTGAGTCCGAGAGCGATAACACCGTTTCATAAAGTCCTTGAAGGCAATCGTGAACTTCCTGTTTACACTCGCGCTTCATCTTTCCCGCTTTCTCTAATGCTTCTTTGCCTGAAAGCAAGAACTCATTGGCGCGTTGTGTTGCAAGGTCCATTGAAATTCCAGCCCGTTTATATGCGGGCGGTAAAATGCTTGACCTCCTGCTTCCACCACTTGCCACACTATCAGAATCCGACCAGTCGTCATCAGTACGGAGTACAGGCTTGCAAATTCCTAACATGTCAAGCTCCGCCTCCATATCCATCGTAATAGAGGTGTTGTTTTCAGAGGCAGTGTCATGTTGATGTGGATTTCTGGCAGTGATATTTTCCTGCTCTACATGTTCCTTCGCAATTATAGTACAATGTAAATTGTCTGGATTTTTGGACCTGGATGTTTCAGTCATGGCCCTTTGGGAACTCTCCGTATCTGCGGCAGAGCTAGTAGTTTTTTGCGTTGAGGTTGCATTTTGTAAAAGAACCTTTTTCCGTAGAGTTGGTGCAGATACCGGGCTAACACCTCTAATAGTTCTACTGGGGGGTTTGGATTTTGCTAATTCTATGCATGATTTGGTGGATTTGTTTGACATTTTTTTTGTTTTTGGTAGAGTCAAATTCTGATAATATGACTAGGGACAGATATCGGTACAGTGTCTACGGTAAAAATCGCAGTGTGACACAAGGCTTTTAAAGTTTTGGGTGCAGACTCTACGTAGAGTCAGAATTGATAGAGCTGAGTCAGCCAACAACTTTATTGAAAACCGCAACTCAATACGAGCCTCCGTTCCAGAGTTATGATAAAATGAAAATCTCCAAGATGGTGGATCAAGATGGCTGACTTTATTTCAATTTTATGTATCTGAGGTTGTATGATACTTATGGGTACCGAGTTTGGGCTCTTTCAACTCGGCTTGACCTTGGCCATCCAATGATGACCACCAAAGTATGTGCGATTTTCACCCACCAACCAAAGATTCCAGAGTACGGAGACTGATCTCACATATAGTATTATGAAAACCGCACACTCGTACGACCAACGGCTGCCGAGCTATCGTCAATTAAAAATTCTGACGTTTTTCCAATATGGCGTCCAGATTTGAAAAATTTCTACAACTCGAAGACCGTTTAAGCTAGACCCCCCGACCTTGGTATCAAAGAAAAGGTCTCGGTGCACTCTATATGGTGATGTTATTTATTTTTCTATTTCTTTAAATAAAATAGAAATATTTACTAAAATTGATTAAAAATTTAATAACTTCGGATTGCCTGTACAGAAAATTTTGAAAAAAGTTTCAAAAGGTTTGTAATAATAAAAGGCATCTATTTTATGGATAATTAGCTCTGTGAACGTGCTGCAACAGTGACCACGTGGCAGAGTGAACTAAGTGAAGAGTGAAGTGACCGCTCGGGTTGTAAACCTTCACTGAGGCCGTCGGCAATAGAACAGTTTGACAGGTGGACTGCTGACGGCTTAAAGGCTCAGTGGAGGCGGCCATGGCGGGAGCTAGGGCGGCAGCCTCCTATCTGGAGCTGCCTCTGTCGGACCGGGGGCCCCGAGAGCGGCACTCCGACGGCATCTCGATGACCCTTGATTGGAATTCCCCGAACGGGCCGACCTGGTGAAACTCGAGGATCCTCGGCTCCAAGGCCCGGGGCCGATACGCAGTCTCCGGAACCCGGTAGTACCGGCACCGACCAAAGGGGGCGGGCAGCGTTCCAGTCGCGGCCACTCAGCCAACGGGGGTGAGAACGGTCTAGCTGACCGATGAGTGGCTGCGAATCCACTATCAACCCGCTGAGGGGCGGTGAAGACCCCCCCGCCCCTGGGGGAACGACTCCCAGACCGATCGGGGAAGGGACTCCCCTCAGAACGAGGGGCGCTGTAGTCCACCGGTGAGCGCCGAGCGTCACCCGACAGTGGGCGTGGCTGGGCGCCCCCGCCCGTGGGAGTCGGGGAGCTGGCCGGGCCCTGATAGGACGAGCCGCGCGCACCCAGGCACAATATGACGTGGTGGTTGCCCTGGCAGTGCGTGCAGGGCCGCTGGTGCTGGCAGTCTCGTTGTAAATGCCTCTCCAGGCACGAGAAGCACCAGCGGCGCTCCTTGGATCGCCAACCATCGGGTTCGCCTCGCCGTAGCCGGCTTGCGCAACAACTTCGGGCACGACGTCGCCCGGTGGTCGGATACTCGACAATAGGAGCAGGGAGGCGCCTCCCAGGCCGCTAGGCCACTATAGGAGGGTACGGGGGGGCGCCCTCCCGCGGGGGCTCCGCTCGGCCTCAGGGGGGTGGGCGCCGCCTTGGCCGGCTGATTCCGCCTCTCCCTGGGCACCGCTCGGGAGGCGGCCGGGGGGCCCTCGACGGCGCCTGCTGCGTTCTCCAACTGCCTACACTGCTCCTCCAGGAACCGCAGCATATCCCTAACGGGGGGCATATACGAGGCGCCATCCCCTCCGTACCTCTCCTCAAAATGGAGCCGAAGGTCGAGGGGCAGGCGGGACAGCACTATATGAAGAAGCAAAAAAGACCACTCGTCCACAGGTAAATCCAGCCGCCGCAACGAGTTGCACGCTACGACGACTGGATTCACTATGTCTTCACGTAGTCTAGTCCGGTCCTTCAGCAGCGGGAGGTTCAGCAGCCTCCGAACATGATCGTCCGCAATCCGCCGGACGTTGGCGTACCTTCCAGCGGGGAGGTCCCTGGCGTTTTGGTAGGCGTCGTCCGACAACTTAAGGTGGCCGACGACGCCCAGGGCCTCCCCCTCCAGTGATGCCAGGAGGTACCCCATTTTTTGGCAGGGGGTCAAGTCCCTCCGGGCGTCCACCAGGCTGTCAAACATGCCGACGAAGGCCAGCCATTCCGAGAGGACCCCGGAGAACCTTGGCAGGTCCAGCGTGGGGAGTCGTCCTAGCAGCTCTGGCTGAGTAGGCGGCTTCCGCGGGGACTCGAGAAGGCAACTCAGCCGAGCTTCGCGCTCCTTCTCCGCGTCCTTGGCCCCCGCCTCGATCAGGTCGTCCGTTAGCGCGAGGAACTGCTCGTAGTCCGCGCGGCAGGAGTCCAGGACTCCCTTTTCCACCTCCGAGTCCTCGAGCTCAGAGTAAGCCTCCTCCACGGCAGCCCTTCGAGCATCGACCTGCTCGAGCCTCTTCCTCAGATTATAAGCCCTATCCGGTCGGCCTATCAACGCGTGTGCGCTGGTAGCCCAGCGCAGCTCAGTCCGCAAGCAACGAATTAGTAGCTTATGTGACGGCATCCCTACTAAATACAATAACAAAATAACAGAAATAACAAATACAGTTCCTATCAATCAAGTTAGATAGAATTACACAATTATTAATCGAGTTAGATAGAAATTACACAATTATTAAATACAAGTTAATACGAAAAAACCTAAATCAAATTAGCACGTAACAACCCTAGTACGATCAACAATTATCCCATTACGTGACAGCCTTATGTATCTAATCAAAATACTTCGCCTCAACAATTCTCGCTTGTTACCTACGGGCGTGGCGTTAGCAAACTACCTCCTAACAACAGAAAAAAAGCGAGCGACAATGCAACAAGAAAGAATTATTATTTATATTAATTATTATTATATTAATTTTACGTATTACGGCCGGGCGTGATTGTAGACACAATCAACCACGCTTCTGGTACCAAAATGTTACGGCATGCAGCTGCCTAGCTAATGGTAGTGTCCTCCTAGGCCCATAGTAGGAAGACCCTACAGGCAGATACAGGTCGGGCTTTAGGCCAAAGTGGAAGTTTCTAATTGAAATAAACGAGGGGAAGGATCACTAAGATAAAGGCACTTACTTGCTTCAGGAGCGGAGACGGTTCACCAAGACCGGCCCGGCTGATGACAGTGTCATGAGTGTATGTGCGATTGTATGTATATGTGTGTGGACGTGGCCTGGTCTGGATGACACAATGCCGTCCTGGAGAAGGTATGCGCTGGTAGCCTCGGAACTATTCCCCTCTTGAGGCACTCTTCCTGGTTTGTCACGCAATGGGACAGCTACACGTAGAACTTCAGAGGTAAATCACTATTATAGTTGCACAATTAATTTAACAGAGCTAGTAAGTCCTAATGAACGATACGGGTTCTCACAACGATTTACGCGGGTTGATACTTTCGTAACAAAATTAGGCGCGAAAAACAGACGTCAGTATAGATCGCAAAGAATTTTACAATGACTGTCGAGAAGTCCGTCCGATCCCGCTGCGGAATGCGGCCGGGTGGGGGCGGGTGACCTCGCTATCGAGGCTACGCGCGCACGTTAAAGAATACGTTTCGAAAGTATAATATTATTGCCTAAACAGATATCGTTAAATATTTTAAAACTATTGATGTTAAGAAAACGGCAGACTTATGGGGTGTTTCCGTTAAAGTTATTTCATCTATAATAGATATATTAGCACCTTATCTAGCTACTATATTTAATATAAGCGTCGAATCTGGTGTGTTTCCTGATTTAATGAAACATAGTAAAGTCATATCTATATATTTAAATCTGGTAGTACATTAGACCCCGCCAATTTTATACCAATTTCTGTACTACCAACATTAAGTAAAATTTTTGAAAAAATTATTTTAGATCAGATGTTAAGTTTCTTTTATATTAATAAATTGCTAAATAAAAATCAATTCGGTTTTACAAGGGGTCGCTCGACAACTGACGCTGTAGTTGAGCTTATTAAACATATTTTTTGTGCATGGGAGATTCAGATGCTTTGGGTATATTTTGTGACCTTTCCAAGGCCTTCATCTGTGTTCACCATGAGACATTAATCAGGAAGCTACAGTACTATGGTGTCAAGAACACAGCGCTTAAACTTATTGTTTCATATTTAAGTAATAGAAAACAGAAGGTTAAATCATTATCAATAGTAAAAGTTCTTCCGGGTCACCTGTACTAATGGGTGTTCCTCAGGGCTCGATTCTCGGCCCATTCCTGTTTCTGGTGTATATTAATGACTTACCTCACCTTGTAGGGGATAGTCATGATATAGTATTATTTGCTGATGATACTTCCTTGATTTTTAAACTTAAACGTCAATCATTTAAATGTGACGAAGTGAATAATGCTATATCAAAATTAGTGCATTGGTTTAACGTTAATAATCTGCATTTGAACGGAAATAAAACTAATTGTGTTAAATTTACTACAACGAATGTTAAAAATCTGAATACCAATGTGTTTTTAAATGGGGAGGAATTGAGCCCTGTTGTATCCACTGTTTTTCTTGGCATCACTCTTGACGCAAAGCTCCAGTGGGGCCCCCATATATCCAAATTAGCAAGCAGACTAAGTTCTGCAGCCTATGCTGTAAAAAAGATTAGAGGTCTCACTAGTGTCGAGACAGCTAGATTAGTTTATTTCAGTTATTTCCATAGCATAATGTCTTATGGGATTTTGCTATGGGGAAATGCGGCTGATTCAGAAACTATTTTTGTTTTACAGAAGAGGGCCATTAGAGCTATTTACAATCTAAAACCGAGAGAGTCTCTTAGAGATAAATTTAAAGAAATTAATATATTAACTTTGGCCTCTCAGTATATTTACGAAAATTTAATGTATGTTC